TGAGAAGCTGGTAGGGAACATTCTATTTGATGTTTGGGTTATGTCGTTTGACGTATAAACGATCAAATTTGACCGTTTACAGGTCAAACGACACAAGCCAAGCTTCGAATCATATGTTCCCTACCAGAAACTCAACCTGACTGTGGCGGCCATGAGCGCTCGTAAAATGCTGGATACACATTCTCAACACCGCTCACAAGTTTGCGCCTTTTTCCAGAGATAAAATGAAAACTCTTTCGCGACTTTCTCATTATTTATTTACAAATGCTTCATTGAGCCAATATTTTGCAAAGCTCGGAATCATTCTTAGAATAACAAATTCTATTCAGAATTTCTATTCAGAAGTTAATTTTTCACTCTTCCTAGAAATCAATTGCAATTCGTCTCAGAATTAATTAGGACATCAGCGCTGAACACACACGGCGATATTAGATCCCCGCTGAAATGTGCCCAGAGAAGCTGAAAGTCATCTTGGAAGGACTTTTCCGTAAGCACGACCTGGCAACCTACACCGTACCGGAGAGGGGGAGGGCGATAACGTCGAAGTATCCAACGAGAAACTCGTAGCAGTGACGAAAGAATTGAAGGTAAGAAAGCTCCCGGTCCGGATGGCATCCCCAACGTGGCGTTGAAAGTTAACATGTTCAGGATGGTGCTGCAGAAATGCCTGGACGAGAGTGACTTCCCTGATAGGTGGAAGATACAGAAGCTAGTGTTGCTGCCGAAACCATGAAAACCGTCGGGGGATCCAGCATCGTACAGGTGTATATCATCCTAAACAGGCTAACGAATCGTACGGAGTACGGATTCCGGAAAAGGAGATCAACGGTAGATGCAATTCGGACAGTGGTCGAGAGAGCCGAGAAGGGGAGAGGAGATCGATATTGCGCCGTGATAACGATCGACGTCAAGAATGCGTTCAACAGCGCCAGCGTTATTTCCAGAATCTGGTTCTGGTCTACGAGGCAGACATGGGACAGAGATCGATTAGGATCACAGCAGAAGTTCCACAAGGCTCCATCCTTGGTCCAACGCTTTGGAACGGGATGTACAACGGCGTGATAACGCTGAAGCTGAGTTGAGATCGTTGACTTTGCGGACGTCGTCGTTATGACGGTAACAGGCGAGACGCTGAAAGAGGTGGAAATGTTGGCAACCAAGGTGATCAACATGATTGGCAACTGGATGCAAGGAGCGAAGCTGCAGATGGCCCACTACAAAACGGAAGTGTTATTGGTCAGTATCTGCAGCGTACAGAAATCACCGGCAGGAAGCCCGCCATAGCCTCGAAGCGCGTGTTGAAATATCTGAGAGTGATGATCGATGACTGGCTAAACTTCAGTAGCCACGTCGAAAATGCCTGTGAGAAGGCTTCCAAGGCCATCCACGCGATAGCTAGAATCGTGCCAAACAGCTCTGGTCCCAGCAGTAGCAAGAGGCGTCTTCTGGCCAGTGTGTCGTGGTCGATATTGAGGTATGGAGGTCCAGCCTGGGTTGCAGCGCTGGAAATGCAGCAGAACCAAAGAAAAACTGAGCAGTATGTTCCGGCTCATGGCTGTGAGAGGCGTGAGTGCGTACAGAACCATCTCGTCGGAAGCAGTATGCGTTATCGCTAGAATAATCCCTATCGGCATCACCCTGGTGGAGGACAGCGAGTGCTACAGGCGGAGAGAAGCCGGACGAGTACGGAAAGTTGTGAAAGCGGAGTCGTTGGCTAAGTGGCAACATGAGTGGAACACGGCGGAGAACGGTAGATGGACACATATGCTACTACCAATTCTTTCGACTTGGGTGAACAGAAACATGGATTAGTCAACTTCCACCTAACGTAGTTCCTGTCTGGCCACGGTTGCTTCAGCAAATACCTGCATCGGTTCGGAGTCCCTCTCTGTGGTCTTCGACTGTACAAGGTTCCAGGCAGTGCGAATGCCCGTTCTTAACGTAGAGAATGTCGTCGATGAAATGTGTCGAGAGGACGGCACCTAGAATGCCGTCAACAGAGTAGTCACGCAGATTATATCGGAGCCGCACAGCGTAAATGGAGAGAAGAGCAGCGATCTAGCAACGGCAGCTAGCGCTGAAAGTATGGGAAGTGCATGAGCACAGACCCCCCCCCCTAAAAGCAGGAGATCTTAAGCATAATTCTTTAAGCTTGAAGTCTTGAACAAAATATCCAAAGGACTTTATGGAGATCTTTGATGAACTGGCAGTCTTTGAAATACTTCCGGAGAACTTTGAGATTTGGTAGTAATTGCTTTTGTAAACAAACACGTCAATCGCCGATTTCTCGTGTAAAGGATCAATCTCGCGAACAAACTATACCGTTTGATAGAGGAACCATTCCTCAACCTGTTTGTGCTATTAGTTTCTTAGATTGAGCTTAAATTCGTGAGGAATCGGCAAATGACGTGTTTGTTTACAAAAGCAATTACGCCCTAATCTCAAAGTTCTCCGGAATTATTCCAAAGACTGCCAGTTCATCAAAGATCTCCATAAAGTCCTTTGTTTATTTTGTGCAAGGCTTCAAGCTTAAAGAATTATGCTTAAGATCTCCAGCTTACAATGGGGGGAGTTCCCCGGAATTTCTGATCACCTACATTTCGACAGAACGTCCGACAAGTTCACAGAAGTCCCGTCAAGTTTTCAGAACTTCTGACAAGTTTCCAGAATTTTCAACAAGTGCACAGATTTTTCAACAAGTTTATAGAATTTCCAAATCGTCCATGGATCTTCCGACAAAGTCGCAGAACTTGCGCCATGTTAATAGAACTTCGAATAAATACACTCAACTTCCGGCAAGTTCACAGATATTTCATCAAATTCCGTCAATTTCAAAGAATTTTCGATAGGTTGACTGAATTTCCAACTGGTTGATGGAACTTCCGACAGGTTCACTGAACGTCCGACATGTGCACAGATCTTCTGACACAATAATAGAACTTCGGACAAGTGCACATAACATCCGACAAGTTAACTGAACTACCGTCAAATTCGCAGTATTTCCGACAACTCCCCAGAACTTTCGAAAAGTTCACAGAGCTTCCGAAAAGTTCAAAGATCTTTCACCAAGTATCCAGAACTTCCTACAACTTCATACTTCCTTCACAGATCTGTCGAAATGTTCATTGAACTGTTGACAGGTTCATGAACATATTCATGGATTTTCCGAGAAGTTCTCAGAATTTCCAACAGGTTTACTAACATTTCGGCAAGTTCACAGAATGCCCGGTAAGTTCATAGATCTTCCGACAAGTTCCTAAAACTTGCGCCAAGTTCACTTCCTACAATTTCACTGAACTTCAGACAAGTTCACAGATCTACCTACAAGTTTACAGAATTTTCGACAGGTTCACTGAACTTCCAACATATTCATAGAACTTCCGACAAGTTCACTGAACTCTAACACTGTTAAGAATCTCTTTTTTCTTTTCCGCTTTCTTTTTATTCATTTCGGATCAGCATCACCTTCACCAGTTCATAGAACTTTGGTGCAGAACGCAGAACTCCAGAGATGCTCATACATCTTCCGAGTAGTTCACTGAACTTTCGAAATGTTCATAGAACTTCCGAGATGTGCTTGGAACTTCTGAGACGTTTATAGAACTTCCGAGCAGTCCATAGATCTTCCAAGTAGTTCATAGGACTTTCGAGCAGTTCATAGAACTTCTAAAAACATATAGCTTCTGAATAGTTCATAGAAGTTCAAAAGGTGTTCATAGAACATCCAAGGGGTTCATAGAACTTCCGAAATGTTCTATGAGTGGATAATAGAACTTCCGAGATGTATTATTATTAATGTCTTTATTAAAAACACATGTCTTATTGAACTAACGAGCAGTTAATAAAACTTTCGAAATGTCCCTAGAACTCCTGATCAGTTCATAGAACTTCCGTAGAGTTGACAGGACTTTCGAGAAATTCATAGAATTTTCGAGATGTAAGTAGTCCGAGCAGTTCATAGAACTTCAGAGCAGTTCATAGAGCTTCCGAGAAATGAGCAGTTCACAGAACTTCCAAGCAGTTCACATAACTTCCGAACAGTTCACAGAACTTCCGAGCAGTTCACTGAACTTCCAAGCAGTTCACAGAACTTCCGAGCAGTTCACTGAACTTCCAAGCAGTTCACAGAACTTCCGAGCAGTTCACAGAGCTTCCGAGCGGTTCACAGAACTTTCAAGCAGTTCACAGAACTTCCGAGCAGTTCACAGAACTTCCGAGCAGTTCACAGAACTTCCGAACAGTTCACAGAACTTCCGAGCAGTTCACTGAACTTCCAAGCAGTTCACAGAACTTTCGAGCAGTTCACAGAACTTTCGAGCAGTTCACAGAACTTCCGAGCAGTTCACAGAACTTCTGAGCAGTTCACATAACTTCCGAGCAGTTCACAGAACATCCGAGATGTCCAAAGAAATGAATTGAAAGTTGACAGGACTTTCGAGAAATTCATAGAATTTTCAAGATGTAAGTAGAACTTCCAAGCAGTTCACAAAACTTTCGAGCAGTTCAAAGAACTTCCGAGGTGTTCATTGAACTTCTCAGATTATCATAGAAATTTCAAGATGAACATAGAATTTTCGAGCAGTTCATAGAACTTCAGAGATGTTTATTCTATAACTTCCAAAACTCTTCCGAGATGTTCAAGGAACTTCCCAGATGAGCATGGAACTTCTGAGATGATGATAAAAGACTTACAGTCTTCTTGATATGATGTCTTCGATAAAACGCTCAGAACGCCAAACATGCTTAAAATAGCTAAAAGAGCAAAACAACACAAAAAACCTCAGAATGCCAAAAATAAAATCTAACAAAAATGCAAACCGCAGTTGATTTACTGTGTGACCTTTGACTGTATTTCATGACAAGACGAAAGCTTCTATTGTTTGTTCGGAGTATGACCAACTGGTTTGAGGATTCTCTTTTTTGCATCCAATTAGAACTAAAGATCCGAAATCTAACTGCCAACTGAACTAATTTGGTTCTCATGTTTTCTCCACTTCTAGGTCCATCGGAGTCTGCACCGGTTCCGTGACCGTTCCACTAGCGTAGCGAGCACACCTCGACGAATTCCGCGCACGGTGCAGGGCCGTACGAGGATGGCCGATTATGGCGACTAATCCTCTCAAGAAACCGCCAGAAAATGACACACAAACCACCGTGGCGGAATCCAGCAGTGGTCCGACCATCCTCTTGAAGCAACAGCGCTCGACCTGTTCCTGCTCGAATATTTCTATTATGCAACTGTTTCACGAGATGAAACAGAAATTTCCTACCGTTCCGGATCATGTCGTGTCGGAGCTGGTGACGGCCAACTGCCACAACCGGCCGGCATGTATTGACAGTTTGGAGAAGGCCGTGCTGGGAACTCCGGCCGCTGCCCAGGCATACCCGTCGCAATCGATACACAGTAGCAGCTTGAAGCGGCGCATCAACGAGCGGAAGCTGAACAAGCTGGAGAGCAGTCTGAGCGGCGGCAGCAGTGGGAGTAGCAGTCGAGAGAGCAGCGTTGATAAAACGTCCAAATGTATGGGAGATGCATCCGGTAGTAATTTCGTATCTGCTAATAACAGCATCAACAACAACAACAACCGAATACCGAACACCACGACGACCATCGTCAACGGCAGTACTGGTGATCTATCACGTGACGGTGGTAGTGTAAATAATACTGCTGATAACCACCCGATGACGACGGTATTTGATAACAACAATAATCGAATCGCGCCGAGCAGACCCACTACATTGCCATTTAGTGGGCCACGACCGACGCGAGTAGCACCATTACCGCCCATTAGTTCTTCCCAAACCACCAGTTCGGAGCTAGGTGAAACTATTAACGTGCAGTTGAACGTGACTGTTTCGCCGGTAGCTAGCAGGAGTCCCATCGGACAGAGGCACACGTCTATCCTGCAACTACAACCCGAACCGCCCTACTCTCGTGAGTTGGCTCAAGCTTCCAGTAGATTTAATACACCGGGTCCCCTGCCAGCGGGAGCCAACAGCCGAAGTTCGACGTCGGTCAATCTAACGCTGCGGCAGCCAAGCGAGGGTCCGCAGTCACCCATCCACATTCACGCTAGTCCCCTCAAGTATACGGCCAAAGGTTTCAACGCCCAGTCCGGCATCCAGAGTAAATTGGAAATTACGTTTCGTGACGGTTTCGGCTCGATCAGTGCCATGCGGACGCACGTTCCCGGGTACGATCAACCCATCGATGGCAGTAGTAGTAATAATAGTAGTAGCAATAGTAACAGTATACCCCAGCACGGGCAGTTGCAGGAGAATCCATACCGGGACCACCAGCAGATGACGGCGGCACAAGTGGCGACGACAAACAACGAGAGCGATGGACTTACCAAAGAGCAACTGCGTCAGAACTACCTGACTGGTAAGTGTTGGGTGTTCATCCTTTTGAACTGGCTGTTACGTTATCGCATCATCTGGTCTTTCTAGTTTCATCAGAAACCTTATCAGTAATGATGTGATTGTTTTAGTTATTCGTTTGAAAATTTAAGTGCTTGAATGCTGATGGCACTTTTGTATTTTCTGTTATCTCACAGAGGTGGCCATTACACATCAAGTAGACCAGAAAAATCGACTGAGCTTTGAGGTGGATCGATATCGACAGCAGTTGAAATCGTTAAGGCGCGAAATAGGTGTGCTTCAGCGGCCTCTTTCGCCTCAAGTGGCCGAAAACCTGTATCGAGAGGTTCAATTTCTCCTAGAAGAGGCAGCCCAAATGCAAAAAGAGGTCGATTCGGCCGAACTCACTGCGAACCCCGGTATAACGGACGGCCTGCATGCACTCAGTATCGAAGGTTTGTCTTCATCCATCCAGAAACCCAACTGAACAACTGTGGTGATGGTAATTTTACTCCCATTTTCTAGGATCTCCCGTTCTACCTGGTGGTTCGATTGTGAATCGTCCACCACGTCCTCCACGGCCTCCGCCTCCAAGAATCCCGCCAGGCCTTCATCAGCAGCTACCTCCAGGAGCAGCAGCAGCGGTGACAGCTACCTCGTCGTATACGATCGAAGGCCGATATCTAGGACAATCGATGTCGGCTCCTGCCGCCGGACCGAATGATCCCTCCGGCGGCAGTGGCGGCGGCGGCGATACAAGCACCGGAGAACAATGGACTTGCAGCCTTTGTACATTCCAGAACCACGAACTCATGACCACATGCGAAGTGTGTTCACTACCCAAAGTGTCCGGTAGACTATCGTCCCAGAATTCTGCTCCAGCTCCATCACCATCATCGCTACCACTACCACCACAACCACCATCACTATCACCGTCATCGCCAAGGCCTTCGGCTGTAGCTGCAATGGCATCCGCTTCGGCACCGCTGGTGGCAGCTTCGGCACCGGTTGCGGCCACCGTTTTGCTACAGTCTTCCTCCGCTTCCTCCTCGGCTGTCTCGTCGGTTGCTTCCACCCCGATTGCGCAACCCCCGATTCAGAACGCTCCTTATCAGAAGTCGTCCATCGAGTGCTGATAATGGCATCGACACCGAGGGGAGAAGCGTAGGAATACTCTTCCTAACCCACTGTGCTATCACAGTCTCACAGCATCGGTGCTGCTAAATTACAGTTGACGGAAAGAGACTGAGTCGAGTGATGAGTGTTGTGATTCCTATAGTAGAAAACGAATGCCATAGACTAATTCCTCATAACCCTTACGGCCCTCTCGGAGCCAGTTTGATTGTGCCAGCTTTGGCTTGAAGACGAACCACTATAAATACTGCTCGACAGAAGACTCGAGGAAACCTTTGAACAGAAGCGCCTTGATGGTGTACCGTGCCTTGCTGGTGTTATAGCGAACTAAATGTAGGCCGCAGTTTGTACCTATTGCTTAATCTATTTTCAGCTAATCCAATCCGTACTAAAAATATATGCAACTTTTAACAAAGCGTCAGTCTGTGAGAAGTTTTGTTTGGCGCAAGCGAAAGTGTAACCGCATGGAGTTTACGTTTTATAAAAGTGTGATAAAGTTTAAGCGCTTCGTGGAAAATGTACCTTAAGAACAATGATTGATGAATCGTTAGCCTTTCCGTTAGAATAGACGTATAAACTCATACACATTAATGCAAAATTATTGATAAACAAATTGTATAAATGGAAGAAAAAGACGAAGCAGCACATAGTAACCAAAAAGTTCCCCTCAGGTATGTATCGATAAACTGGTGGTTATCTCCTTGTTTACAATTAGATTTTTGATTTTACGATTACCGTTGATCCATCATATACGAACATGTGCGAGTACTTAATATCATTCATCGAGTTTATCCAGAATGGTGCGCACTCTACCTCGATGAGGTTTTTGCGGTATGATCATTTTTAACAGTATTCGCAGAGAGGCATGTGTCCGTCGTTTAGGATAAGACTGTAGTCTTGAAATAATTATTCTTATCAATTCACTAGATTCTATTGAAGATTTCTTTGCAACTCAGATCAGATTCTTGCGAAAAATGCCTTTAGCTTGTGCTAGATAAATCACAGGTGAAGCTTCTTAACCTTCAGAAATTAACTGCCCAGGTGCTAGGACATGCATTAAATCGTTATAGTGTAAATTAGGGTTTCGGAAAGCCGTTTACCTTTGATGTTCTAGACCCTACTGGATTGCTTAAGACCATAAAGTACCTTGTTTAAACGCCACACCAGTTGGAGGTCGTGGCGGTGAATATGTCTTCGTCAAAATCTACTTGCAGAAAGGCGGTGATGGCATGGTCCATCTGATTCACCTCCAGATTGTACTTGGCTGCCAGCAGCTGATATGGAACCGCAGTTAACTGTGACGAACGACAGGCGACTAAAGGGTGTCCATGATGAAATTGCCACACACAAAATTGATTCGCAAAATTCGAGTTTTCATCCGATTGGCATCAAATTTTCAGGGATTGAGAAATAACTATTAAACTTCATTTTACCATTTTACTCGTATTTTATTTACAGTCCATACGCAAATGCCCGCACCTTGGCCTTAACCCCGGCCATAAGATTCTGCACAACCTGTGAATCAACCGTTTTTTGCATGTAAACCCATACTTTCTTCAGTTCCTCGACTGTCTTCACTACCTTAGGTCGTTTAAGAAGGTGCTGCGTCATAATCGCCCAGTACTTCTCGATGGGGCGGAGCTCCGGAGTGTTGGGAGGGTTGAACATTTTCGGCACGAAATTGACCTTATTGTCCGCATACCACTTCAGCACGTCCTTGGAGTAGTGGCATGAGGCCAAATCCGGCCAGAAGATTGTTGGGACGTTGTGGGCCTTCAGGAGAGGAAGCAGCCGCTTCTGGAGGCACTCTTTTATGTACACCTGTCCGTTCATCGTGTCCTGGGTCACGAAAGGTGCACTACGCTTCCCGCACGTGCAGATGGCTTGCCAAACCAGGAATTTCTTCGCAAATTTGGACATCTTCTGAGTGCGGACATGCTCCGGAGCGCTGAACTTATCCTTGGCCGTGAAAAACAGGTTGCCGGGGATCTGTTTGAAGTCGACCTTCACATATGTTTCGTCGTCCATGATGCAGCATTCAACTTTCGTCAGCATGTTGAGGTACAACTTCCTGGCACGGGTTTTGGCGGACTTGTTCTGCTTCTCGTCGCGATTAGGGGCCTTTTGTACCTTGAACGTTCGAAGCCCAGCCTTAGTTTTGGCCTTCTGGACAAAACTTCGGCTTAGGTGCAGCTTCTTAGCCACATCCCTAACGGAGGCGTTCGGATTTCGGTTGAAGGCCCCAACTACGCGGTTGTGATTTTTGGTGTTGTACGGAATACTTTTTCCTTCACTTCTGGGCTTCCGATCGGTGGTCAACCGTTCCTCGAACCGCTTAATCACTCCGACACCGTGGAATTCGCGATTCCCAACGTTTTAGCGATGGAACGATGCGAGAGATCCTTGTTCTCGTGATGAATGCGCAAGATTTTATCACGCACGAGCTGTTCTTTCGACTCCATTTCCGCGAGTTTTGATCACAGGACTTTAAAACTTGCAGGATGTAAATAATGCACTATGAACTAAATCCACCCAAATGTTCATTAAATTCTACCAAACGGTTAAAAAGTTAGAGCAATTTCATAGTGTGGCAATTTCATCGTGGACACCCTTTATCCCTCTTTGATCACAGTGCCAATCAACGTTTCCACTGACTTGTGGTAGCAGTTTCCCGGCATTTGTTGTTAATCAGCGCGTAGTATTCCTCTATCATTCATAGCCGTTTTCCAACGTCCGGAGTCGTCAACAGTCGTTTATGGATGTTCAATCCGCCTCCCTTCCGCCTTTAGTTTGATATACGTTTCCGCCATCGTCTCAATGCATCGTGTCATGATGTCGATGTCATCGGGGAAGCCAAGAAGCTGGACATGCGAAACATGTCTGGGTATGATCAATGTGGTCTTGGATATTCAATATTGGCTCATACATATATGATTATGGCCACTTCCTCAGGGGTATCCGGAACATGTCCGGATGTGGCATTCAGTATTACTGGGCATTCAGTATTACTGCCATTGGCCTTGTTTACAAACTCTCATGTGTTACCCCTTCTTTTTAGAATTTTTATGGACCGTAAACACTACGTACCATTGGAACGTATCTACGTATCCTGATCAATGTGGGCGGCTTAGTGGAATACCTGTATAATGAGAGAGAGAAGGATTAGTAATTTCCATTTGATTCCACTACCTTATTTGCTTATCCTTGACAGATACGCGTATTTCGCCTACAATGTGTAGACTTATTCAGTGTCTTGTACTAATACTCGATAAGGTAGTGGAATTAAATGGAAATTACTAATCCTTCCCTCTCTCTTATTATATTGTATCTACGTAGTTTATGAACAGCCCCTTCCAAGATGCTTCCCCAAGTAACCAAAAGTTCTGATAAAAGGTTATTTGAGACTTAACCAGCTTGGTTGAAGGTGCTCTATAGAATTCTAAGCAGCCTCATTTTTAAGTCGTTATAAGAATTTGAAAGTTCCGGTACCATAATTGAAGAGCATTCTAAGCAGCTTCTGGCGGAAATTGAACGGCACTTTTAGAAAATAAGTTAAAAAAGGTTTTTGTCCTCTTCACCAATTTTATATGTAGTTCGCACTTTTATGAAAGTTAATTCTAAAGTCTGGTCTTTATGAAAGTTATTTTTAAAGCCAGGTATGAACGTGTATTGATTTATCAGCATTCGTAGTAGTATCAGAGCCTGTTTGAAGAATTAAACCCAGTCCTTCTGCGTGAGAGCCACTAGGACGAACCGCTACGTCATCTGAGATATATTAAAGTGAGCTGTTGTCCCGCCTACTGTTGGAGTTTTCAGTGCCAGCTTGACTTGAATGCGAAACACAACACCTTGATGAATTTTAATTTGGGGTTTGTCCGCTTGGTTTTCCGACAAACTTGTGACACAGTGGCTAGCGTTCGTAGATCACATGCCGAATACACGGATTCAAATCCAGGAAATTACTATTTAATTTTTTTTTTTTTAATTTTTGAATAGAATATTGATGCACTGCATAAATATAAAAAATTATAATTTCACTTCATATTTACGTAAAGCCCGATTAAAAGTAAATTTGGACGCATTCAAGTGATCATAACTCAAGAATTAAACAACATACACTGTTGATCAAAGCGTCAAACAAAAGGTTATTTATTCAGCTTTCAAACGATTTATAACAAGTTATTACATTTCACCGTTTCGAACGAACTGTCGCACTTTACTTGTGATCGATGCCATCATGATCTGCACAGTCGCTGGTGCCACTGCACCGGCGAACTTATTCCACTTTAAACGCATTTGTTGTGCATTTGTCACTTCTTTACCGCATCCTCGAAGTTTTCGCTTGACAATTGCCCAATATTTTTCGATCGGTCTGAACTCAGGTCAATTCGGATGATTAATATCTTTGGCGACGAAATTAACATTGTTGGCAGCATACCATTCTAGTACCTCCTTAGAGTAGTGGGAGCTGGCTAGATCCGGCCAAAACATAACGTTGGTCTTGTGTTGCTGAATGAAGGGTAAACCTTCGACGTCATTGTGTGAGATGTGATGAAAACCTTGGTTTTAAGGCCACAACTGCAAATTCCTTGCCAAATCATTAGTTTCCGAGCAAACTTATCAGCAAAAACAAATTTATACCTGGAATGGACATCCCCACGACCAGTTGCCAGCTAAAATTTTCGTCCGGGGATTTGTTTATAATCCATTTTGACATATGTTTCGTCATCCATTAAAATACAGTCATCAAATTTCGTCAAAACTCGTTCGTATAGTAATCGTGCTCGCATTTTGGCCACTAAATTTTGTTTCAGGGAGCGAATCGGATGTTTACTGGCACAAAAAGACTTATATCCTTCTCTTGAAAGGATGCTACGCACGGTGGAAAAGTTGGAATCGTATTTCTTTGCCAAATCACGTATGGAGACACCTGGGTTGCTTTTCACGTACCTCAACAACTTTCTCCTCAAGTACCATGATGCGTAATTTCGGGATGCGTCGATCAATCGAGAAAAACTTTTCACCAATTTCTTCGTTAATGAAACATCAACAAATACCTGTCAAACGTTTTTTGTTCCCACCACCAGGGGCGCGGTGGTGTATTAAACAGTGCGTCCAGATTTACTTTAAATCGAGCTTTACATGAAAGTTGCTAATAAACACTTGTGCGGATTGTTTCATGTGAGCTTTGACGGACCTTTTTAAAAACTTTCAAGTTGCTAAGAAGTTCCGCAGGGAACTTTTAAAACACTTTAAAGTTTGCTAAGAATTTCCGCCGGAAACTTGTTCGGAACTTGGTTGCGGCCATGTTTTCAGCGTTGCCTGAAGTTCCTAAGAAGTGCTTAGAGATGCTTTTGGAACTTTTTTGAACTTCAAGTTGCTAAGAGTACGCATCGGAACTTTGTGTAGCCTAAAGTTCCTCATATGCTTTCTTTAGCTTCTAAAGTAGCTTGTTGGAACTTTATATGCAAAGTGAGTTTTATCGTGGAATGCGAAACTTTTGGATGCTTGGGAAGAAAGTTCTGTCGGGACTTTATTTGAACTTTATGGAACTTGAAAGTTCTGTCAGAACTTTATTCGGACTTTATGGAACTAAAGGGTTCTGTCG